AAATGTTTTATATCTGCTGTTTAATGAAACAGTCACTAACTCACAGGTGTAGATATTGAACACTGCGATGGGACTAATATGATTGAAGAGCTAAACCTTAAATTTTAATTAATTTAAATAATTTCATGCAACTATAGCTACTGTTTTTGACACCATGGTTCTATATGCAAACAACTCCTAAATCTGTATGCTCAACTCAGTGTGTCTGCTAGATCCCTAGACTCCTGTAGCAACCTACTTGTTTGATAATTCCACTTGTATGACTTGGGATAGCTAATAGGTATTCACACTTAACATGTACAAAACTGAACTCCTATCAGGCATGGTGGTGCACACCAGTAATTTCAGAATTCAAGAGGCTAAGGTAGGAGGACTGCCACAATTTCAAGGCCAGCTTGGTTTACACAGTGAGTTCAAGGTCCTGTCTCAAAAACAAGAAAGAAAGAAAAGAAAAGAAAACAAGAAAAGAGAAGAGAAGAGAAGAGAAGAGAAGAGAAGAGACGAGACGAGACGAGACGAGACGAGACGAGACGAGACGAAACAAAATACCAAAACCAAAGAAACTTGAACTCCTGATCTGGTCTCCAATTCTGCCCCTCTCCCCAACATATGGTATTTGTCATCTTATTTAAGTTGTAACTCTGTACTTCTCTAATTTTTCATGCCACAAACTTTAGCATAGTTTAAGACTGTTCTATCTCCCTTATCCATATGTACAATCCATGAGAAAATTGTTGAGCTTTCCCTTTCAGACATATCTATAATCTGACTACTTTTTACTATATCTCTACTGTTACCAAACTGGTTTACATCACTATTATGTTTCACTTCAATTATGGCAACCATCCACTAACTCATGTCCCAGTTTTCAATTCTTACTTCTAGTATCCACCTCCATAGTGTATTTTTATCAAAGAAGCCAGAGTACAGCTGTTATAATATTAAATCAGATTCCATCCCTTCTCTGTCCTAACCCTCTTACCCTAAAGTAGCTTCCAGTCACAAAGTAAAATTCAAAGTCTTTGCAATGTCCTCCCATGTTCTCTGACCTTGTCTCTTACACCTTTCCCATTCACCTGCTTTGCTCTCATCACACTGTTTTTGCCCCACCTGAAACATCCAACCACATTCCTGAGTTAAAGCTTTCATACTTGCTGTTACTTTTGCCTGGAATATTCTTGTCAGAAACATTCAACATTAGCCTTATTCCTCAACCCTCTCAGGTTTCTCCTCAAACACCACCTTTACAATGAGGTCTATGCTGATCAGGCTACATAGAATAATACCCACTATTTTCAGTGCTCCTTTTACCCTTTGCCGCAATTTATTTCCTTCCATAGTATTTTCTCCATTAGCCATACAGTATTTCATTGTTTATTTGCTTACTTCTTTGTATTCCACCAAGAATGTAAGCTCTATAAGATAAGAACTTTATTCTACTCACTGCTGGAGTGGGTTTTTTTTTTTTGGGGGGGGGATGAGGGAATATGTTGGGGACTGAATCCAGGGTTTAACACATACTAAGCATAAACTCTACCCTTGAGCTAGACCTCGAGGTCTCTCTGCTGATTCTCTAACACTTTAAACAGTACATAACACATAGAAGATGCCCAATGGAAGCAACTGCATGATTTCCTATGTGTCAGTATAACTGCTATTAAAAGTCCAAAAATAAATATTAAAAGCCACAGAATCTAGGAGAAACAACTAAGTAATTATCATTCATATGCCTACTAGAACAATAGGGATTAAAAAGGTTTTTTTTTAAGGAAAGAAAGGTTTGTTTAGCTCATAGTTTGTGGAGATTTCAGTCCAAAATCAGCTGGCTCCAAGGCAGCGAGCATGGCACAGGGCCAACAATTCAAGGTGCAGAAGACAGCAAAAGCAAAGGAAGGGAACAAGCCTCTTTCTCCCTTATATTATAAACAGACTATCTTCCCACCTGCTAAGGTGGGTGTAGCACTCAACATCAACTCTTTGAGCTCCTCTTCCACAGGATGAGGATGTTTACAAAGTTAGGACCCCAGGGGGCCTGCCCCTTAGCTCAGTTCTTTAAGTGGCTGCTTCAACAAAGCAGTCAGGCTCAGGATGCTGTGGTTTGATCCCCACAACACAAGCCAGCCAGTCATGCCTTGAAGGCATTCGGAGCAAAAAAAACTCAAAAAAACAAAACAAAACAAAAAAAAAAACATTTCAAAGTTAGGACCCTGGTTCCCTACTGAGTGGCTTAAACTTCCAAACTTCTCAAGTTGGCTCAATGTAACCATTACAATCCACACCTTGTCAACCAGGCAACTAGATACATTTCTTTAACAGGTTTCCAGATATAAAGACATACTTATTTTTAACATTTCACAACTTGAACATTATAACACAGGTTTAACACTCCTTAAAAACTAGTAGGTACAGTTATAATTTAAGAATACCAGTATATGTCAGTCACATGGAAGAGAGATAGAAGCCAGGAATTGGAAGATAAACATACATGCTCTAGATAGATGTCTGACAGAAGTCTGAAGGAACAAGTGCTTAAATTTTTTCCCTCTCTCTGGGTTGTCTTTTCACTCTGTTGGTTATTTTGTTGTGTAAAAGCTTTTTAATAAGATAAGATTCCAGCTGTTGATTCTTTGAAGTATTCCCATTCAATCTGGGTTCTACTCATGAACTCTCTGCCTATATCTATGTCTTCAAGATTTCTACCTACTTTCTCTTCCAGTAGATTTAGTGCTTCTGTTTTAATATTTACATCTTTGATGCACTTTGGCTTTAATTTAGTGCATGGCGATAGATATGGGTCTAGTTTTAATCTTCAGCATGTACTGCGGGGCAAGGGCAAGATCCCAAGTTTGATCCCAGGTACCAAAAAAAAAGTCTCTGGCATGTGGACAGCCAATTTCTCCAGCATCATTTATTAAAGAAGCTATCTTTCTTCCAGTGAACATGTTTGGCCTCTTTCTCAAAGATAAGGTAGTTGAGTATGTTTGTAGTTGTGTCTCAATGTTCTAATGTTTCATTGATCCTCAGGTCTATTTTTTTTTTGCCAGTACCATGCTGATTTTATCACATCAAGCATAAGTTTACAAGGTAACTGCTATATGTGGATAAGGACATTACATAAAAGAATAAATGAAATGATCTAATAAGCAGAAAGTGATACACTCTAAGTAGTTAAGTATGATAAAACACATAGTACATGTGTAGCAGTGAAAAAGACAAGTTGAGTGATACAAAGAGGCAGGAGACCTAACTTGGGGAACATATCCTGAACAAGGAGAAAATGGAATTTCTCCTGAAGGAAAGCTAACCATCAAAGCTGGGATCCTGGTTGAGAACATGGCTGTATTAAGGAGTGCTTATCTAGAGACATGTGTGAGACAGTGGGTTCTATCCCAAGCAACAAAACAAGAAAGGAGCCGAGTGTGATGATACCTGCCTATAATCCTGTAGTCTGGAATGCTGAGGCAACAATTCAAGTTTGAGCCCTGCCAGAACAACTTAGTGACTTAGTAAGACTCTATCTCTAAATGGAAAAATAAGAAAAGGATTCAGAAGGGCCAGGGAGATAACTAAGTGGCTTAAGCTCCTGCCTGACAAGTGCAAGGTCCTGAGTTCAATCCTTGGTACAAAAAAAAAAAAAAAGAAAAACAGAAAAGGACTGAGAATGTAGTTTAGCATAAATGTCCTAGGTTTAATCCCTCATACCACAAAAAATATAAGAAAGGAAATAATAAACATAAAGCTGGAATCCTTAACTAAGATTGAAGATGGGTTACAGTATATATGTAAACACGAAAACAAGTATATTATTGGGAGTAGGACCATAACTTTCATCACATTTCTCTGAACGATCCATGATTCAAAATTAGGTTACAAATAATTTTCTAATAAAGGCACTATCTAGAAAATGATATGATCAAATTTCCATTTTCATAAAATCACTTAGGCATAAATAGGTAGAAAGGTGCTGAAACACTTAGGTGGAGAGTTCATGTTTTGGTGACAGATGGAAGACCAACATGAAGCACAGGAAATAGGCCTTGACTAGAAATACAGATTTCAGAGTGGCAATGAAAGTCTACAGGTGGTAGAAAATCTGAAGAGCATGGATGAGGCTGTACAGAAAAGTATGTAACTGATTTTTTTAAAAAAGACAACAAATAAATCACTAAGAACATCCAATATTACAGCAAGAGGAAAAGAAGAATCAAAGGAAAATTAGGAGGTGAGAGGAGAATATAAAGTAAGCATAGCCATGGGATCAAGAGAGTAAAGGGTGGGGGCGGGGGAGAAATAATCACCATCATAAAATGCTTTGGTGAAGTCATGCAGGACAAAAACTGGAAAGTGACCAGTGGAAAAGGTACTAAGATATGCAGTCACAAGTGACCTGGAAAGAATAGTTTCAGCAGGATGAATGGGGCAGAAGCTAGATTGCAATGAACTGAATGAAGCATGACTGTGTGGTGAGTAAATAAATTCAAAAAAGCCTACACTACTTTGTCTTGAAGATCAGATATGAAGGGAAAAAAAGATATAAAGGAAAAGATGGGAATAAGTGATGTTGATAAAAAAATGTGTACTTGTTTAGGAAACGGAGCTACTACAGAAAGAGAGATGAAGAAAGGGGACGTAACAGAGAAGTCCACCTGCCTGAAAACCGTAATTTTCCAAATGAGACATAAGGCAACTTACAATGGGGACAAAGGGAGGATTATAGTATTTGTGAAAGACAAAAGGTACAGTGTACTTATAATGACAAGTAAAATAAGGATCATAAACAATCAATTGAAGCTGGGCCTCATCACCCTATACTAGTGTCACTGAGCACAACTGGGAAATGTAACTTCAGTGAGATGCTCAGAAAGCCTGTGGTAAACATGACTTCAGAGAGTAAAATCGCAATGCTAGTTTTTGTTTTTTATATAACATTTCAGGGTTATAAACTTAGCCACAGGTTCATGGCTGTTCCACAATTGCTATTAAAAATAAAATCCACTTACTTGAGAGTTGGGCATCAATAATCATGGAAGACGAAGTTGATGATGGTTCATTACTTGCATCAATTTGAATCAGGGATGCATTTTTAATGTTATTTTCCTCTATCTTCCAGTTATTCTTATGTAGCAAGCCTTCAATATTGGTAACTTTACAGCTAATACCACATCCTGGTACAACCTGGAAATCTATACAGGTACCCAAGGTTTCAGTGTCCAGTTCCTAATGAAGAGAAACAAGGATTTATTCTGCTGTTCTAATAATGCAAGGTCACCTATCCACAAGATTTAAAGATTACTCTTGGTAAATTCTAAATATTTTGAATAAAGCTGTCTACTTGACTGTGAACTTTGATAAGGATAGAGCATTGAGCATAACATTCAAAGTTATATGACAGTTGTAAAATTTTTAATCTTACTTTCTCAAATTTATAGAAAATATAATAAAAAGCTTATTCATAGTCTCTGCTCTTTGCAGTATAAAATTACAAGTTAAATTTTTAGTTCATAATCAAGTCAAGTTTCTTATTCTGCACAGGGCAAGGGTAACAAATACCCAAGGCCTTTAGTTATTAGAATGTTCTCTAGTCTGATGCTTTATCCTTAGTAAAGCAATGAATTTTGGGAACCATCATTTTCCTGACTCATTTTATATCTTCACCTTCTCTATTTGATTTGGGCATCGATAAGCCAAGTCAGTAACACTTAACAGGTAAAAAGAAAGGAAAAAATGGTATAACCAAGGTGCCTCCTGCCACATTTTAATTGTAAATCTGATCTGAGATAATTAGCCAATAACTTATAATTATCAATGTGAAAAAATTAACCCTGGGCTGGAGAGATGGCTCAGTGGTCTAAAGCACCTACTTGAAACAAGCTTGGCAAAGCACAGGGACCACGGTTCGATCCCCCAGCACCACATGCCAGCCAGCCCCGCCCCCTGGTGGGCTGAGCTGGCCACACACACACACACAATAAATAAATGTAATAAATAAAAATAAATAAATAATTTTAAAAAAAGAAAGAAAAAATTAACCCTATGAAAAAATAGGTGTTAAGGCTTGTTTTGTTGAAACAGGGTCTCACCACATAATGCAGGCTGACCCTGAACTGATAATGATCCTCCTGCCTCAGCCTCCTGAGTAATGGGAACACAAGCATGTGCCACCACACCTGGCCAGGGTTTGTGTCTAAATGTCTTCAAAGCCTCATGCAGTCATAGGTAGGGCTTATCAGACAGAGGTGGCTGCATCTAGACTGTGTGATGCTGGATTAACTGTTTTTGCTTCCTGCCTTCTGCCTTTCGCTTTCTGTCTGCCAAGACCTGTCTCTCTTTTACATGCTACTCTGCCTTAGAGAGCGACAGCCAACTATGAACTGAAACATCTATAAACTTATAAATTGTGAGCTACAATACAGCCTACCTCCTTTAACTTTGGGTGTCAGGAATTTTGTCTTAGCAATGAGAAAAGTAAGATAATAGAAGGCTATAGACAACAGGCTAGAGGAAAAAAAAAACAAGTTCAAATTGCCAAGAAACACATTAAAAATGCTGAACCTTACTTGTTATTAAAGAAATACAAAGCAAGTCAGCAAGAAAATATACTTTTCACATAAAACTGTTAGAAATGTGAGGTTATAAGCACTCATAAATTGGGAACAGGTATAAGCAAGAATAATTTCTTGTATGAGTATTTGTAATAGTCATCACATAGATGTTGATAACATTTATCAAAATTTAACCATGAACTTACTTTTCCTAGAAAATGTACTGATACATATTTAATGTGGGGACAGACAAAGATGTTCAGTGTACATTTTAAGACCTAAGCAAACCAATCACACAAGAGAATATAATATAGCCATTAAACAGTAATGCAAATCTGTACTTCCTCATTTGGAAAATTCATTTAATAAGATTAAGAAGCAGAAAAGGGCAAAGGAAAATCAGGGAACTAGTTCAATGAAAGCTAGAAAACACAGCAGCTTCTATATAGATCGGAGAGGTACATCAAAGACCACATCATAAGGATAGAGGAGACTATCACTGAAAACCCAGCCTGGAGCAGGATGTGTAGACAGCATGCTCACAGGAACAAGGTACTCATTCCTTGCGCAGGTATTCATTATAGTCAAGACTTTTGGCTTATACTTATAAATCCATACTCCCCAAATAAAACAGGTTTGGTGACAAGTCTGAATGGGTCCAGCCCTCTGTAGCCCCAGGAGTTTAAAGGAGAAGGAAAAGCTATAGTCTCTGGGCCTGAGGCAATAAAAAACTCTTGTATATAGCTGTACCTTTATGTTATACTGTGGTTCCGTCAGGCTGTTAATGTGGGGTATTTAATTAACATCAACAATAGGTATTTTCTCTATAATAAAAATCTAGAGGCTAGGTGTGGTGTACACATCTATAATCCAAGCACTCTGGAAGGTTGAGGCAGGAAAATCACAAGTTCCATGCCAGCCACTGTAAGTGAGCAACAGTGCAAAGTTCCTGGTTGAATCCCCAGTATCATCCAGAACAACAAAAATCAAAACAAGATAGATTGTATTGACCTTTCCTTATAAAATTGTGTAAAGTGATAAATTCATACATAATGGTCTATTTAAATTTTTTTTTTTTTTTTTTTTTTTTTTTTGGGATTGAACTCAGGCCTTTATGCTTGCCAGGCAAAGTAAAAAGAGGGGCCAGTTACCACCCTAAGCAAGTGCTAAATGCTCACATCTACTTGTGAAACAGGGGGGTCTTTTTAAATTTTTTTTTTT